AAATGGACATGTGAAAAGGTTCCACATATAATATGTAAAGAAATAGACATATAAAAGGGTTCCACATAGAATATGTAATAAAATGGACATGTGAAAGGGTTCCACATATAATATGTAAAGAAATAGTAAAACAGTTCCACATATAATATGTAATAAAATGGTTCGACATACCTTAGGTATGAAATAGTTCCACATAAAATATGTAAAAGGAATAAAAAGTCCCATATAAAATAGATAGACACGTGAAACAGATTCACGACCAACCAGCTATTTCAAGAACGACTTTCAAACCACCATTTTCGAATTTCCCATTTCCACTTTCGGACTGTCCGGCCAGCGTTCTCCACGATCTATCAATCTATGACATTCCAACCAACATTTTTGAAGGACTAAATAAAAATGTGTACATTCCGACCAGCTTTTTGACTTTCCAACCAACTTTTCAAAATAACTATCTAACCTTCCAACCAACTTTTACAACTTACCGACGACCGTATACGATATGCAACACACTTTTTCTACTTTCTACTTGTTTCGAACTTCCGACTTTCCAGCCACCTTTCAATCCTACTTTCCGGACTTTCCAACCAAACTTGTTCCACTAACATTTTCGTATTTCCTTTCAACTTTTTCAAATAACTTGTGCGACTTTCCAACTAATTAGACAATTAAACTAACTTACTGGAGTTTGTATCCAACATTTCTTTTAGAATTTAGACATTTACAGCTTTTCAGATAATACTTCAAACTTACCATGAACTTTTTCGACTTTTTCCCTTTTATCTTTTCTTTCGTTTTCCTAATTTTTTTAACATTCGCCAACCTAACTTTTACAGCTTTCCAACCAACTTTGTTGACATACAATTTTTGTTACTTTCAATCAAATCTTTTCGACTTCCAAACCCAAACCAACTGTTTCGACTTTCCATCCGATCTTTACTAACCAACGAACGTTTTCAAATAACTTTCCGACATTCCGACCAACTTTTAAAACTTATCAGCGAACTTAATTCCACACGTTATTCCACCAAACAATATTGCCATCCAGATGAGCGTTGCAAGTTGACAACGAAATTTATCGACATTGTTTTCAAACTTCCATTTAACTTGTATGTCTTCCGAGCCACCCGTTGTGTGCTAGTTCAATGTGTAATGTAGGTCAAGTATTAGAGTATGTTATTTTTATGATTTGCAAAACATATTTCAACATTTATTATATAACTGAACAAATGAAATTTATTCATGCATTATAATGATATATCGGAAGCAAAATTCCATATAAATAAGTAATGCAGTCTATTTTATTATATACAAATAAATTAGGGTTACTTAATATGTTATACTAATAATTTGTAATAACATTTTATTATATATATATATATATATAATTAGGAATTGTGTATTTATTACAAATAATTTGTTTATTATATTAACATGATAATTTTTTATATATAATATATTGAAGCAAAATTGTTTATAAATAACTAATGATATATCGTTTATTATATACAAATAAGTTCATTTATGTACTCTATTATACACAAAGAATTTGTACCACAATTATATGATGTAAATAAAATGAAGAATCGTGTAAATATTACTTATACTGTGCATCCCATGAGTATGTCAGTTCACCATGCTTGTCAATGTTATAAAATAGAACACATAGATGATTTATTTTGACCGGGGATGAATATTTACAGTCTGAGTTATTTTCATGCATTTGAATTATTTCTTTTGTTCGTGTTTCCTGCTTTGTTTTGTTTTTCGCTTGCCCGTCATGTTAATGAAGGGAAAGGTATATGAGAGAAAATATATAGGAGTCAGATTAAAATCAGCCTG